CTCACACCCACACCAACCGACATACCCCGCGATAGATCTGTACAAAATTGTATGCTAAAGTTCAGTTCTTGGAGTAGTGCCTGCGCTCGAATAGAATCGATCGAATTGTCGATGTGAGCGTCGAGCCAAATAAGTTCAAAAACGTCTCCATAATAAAGACTCAGAGAATCAGTGAATAATTCTTCGTTTGTTGAAGATGCATCTATTTCGTCTTTTTTAAACAAAATGTATCAATTTACTCGCTCGGCAATCCTTTCTCAAATTTACATCACACTTGAAAGCACAACAATCCTCCTTCACTCCCGAAAAATCAGTAAAAGGAATCAAGAACGAAAAAAAACATGCGACATGTCTTATATTATTAATTGATTGTAGCTCTCAGTTACATAATAGGTTTCGACGGTCTTATCGAAAAAATAAACGTCTGCGCAGAAGGCAAAAAGAAATATGGTTCTCTCTTTTTCTCTTCGTTACTTTCAGCAAATCAAAAAAGTTAACCATCACACAGCCAAAATATATTTGACTCTTACTATGTTTCTTCACCTTCTCTCAAATGAAGAACAGCCGTAATTAAGCGTTCTCCATGATTCTTTTTCGATATAAAAGTCGCCTACTCATTGTAACGAGAGCGTCTATGAGAGGACCAAGGACCACCCCAGTGAGGATGAGAGTACGGATGAGTGAGGGTGATCCCTTTCTCTTCACCCATACCCGCCCACCCACTTCCGACCTACTCACTCACACCCTCAAGATAGTTTCCATCTATCACCAATAGCACTGAAAGTGCGAGAAGAACAAAAAGTCCACAAATGGATTGTATAGTATATCAAGTTATTCCAAAGTTGACAAATGATGACTTTCTAAAGTCCATATCGTTATATATTTAGATGTATTTTTTATTGCTAATAATGAAACAAGAGAGCAAGGTAGAACAAAGTATTTCGTGAGAAAAATACCATCTGCTCTGGTCATTAGTTTAATCTCAACAATTGCAATAAAAAGTATTACTTTTTAGATATAAATTTTGTTCGTCCCTATTGACGCTCATCGCAACAATAATTTCATTCGTACATATTACTTGAGTAATTACATGAAATATTCTCTGCACATGTCTGTATGAAGCATATCTCATCCCTTCGCTCTTCGTAGTAGATATGTAAATGCTATGTCTTTTACTCAGAACAACAATGTTTAGAAGTGTTTCTCGTCTTAATGGGAAATATGTGTGTGTCGGAAAAGGCGGAACGATTTATAATTGAAACAGATCAGGAGTAAAGTGAACATTCTCATTTTATAAACTCCCTTGCACTCAAGTTTCTCGCAATATTGACGTTTGAATCAGCATAGGCGCGTGATTTTCTTGTCAAGACCGAGATTTCTAGTAAAAATTTCAAAATTAATTCGGCGTTATTACCAGTTGCAGCAGTTTTCCTAGTGCTTCGTGTAAAAACACGGCATTTTTACGTGGTTTTATCTTACAAAGTTGCCCGATGTGCCATTTCAAATTTGCGAGCACACTTCACAAGACAAACCACTAAACGGCAATATTTTTCATCTTTTCAGAAATGTAAAACGAATAAAGCAGGGTAGAAAATGCTTTGAATCAAGCACAAGCTTTGTCATTGTACTGTTGGTTGGCGCAAACGCTTTACTTCAATCGCGAAATATTGAATTATGACGTAGGCAAGCTGAATCAATCTGTTCGTAAGAGCAGAAAAAAATACATGCCGTTCGAATATCATTCATCTATAGGCTTTCAACGCACATTAATTTGCTTACTTCGGCCGTTATATTCATTTTCATTGGATGCTGCTCATGTTCTATTCTATATAGTGTCATATGTTTTTTTTCTCAGTCAACGAAGGAAAGAGCTGCGTTGCATACTAAAGAATGAAGTGCTAGTTAAGTTTGATCACTATTCTAAAATTATATTTGCCGTAACCTGTTCTCTCCCACTGGGCTTCATTTTTCTTTAAACAATAAGCACGACTATTTGAAAAGCCTAGAACGCACAACGCGTTGGTAGCAAGTAAGAACTAAATTATCGTGTTAGCTTAAGAAAGACAAATATATTTTTTAATGTCGTAGAAACAGAAAAAATATCTCTATCATATTATTATTTATTTTCAAAAGAAACATGTCTTTTCTACACACGATTCTCCTTCTCCTTCTACTAACGTCGATTAACAGTCTACCGACTACCGAAACATGCAGCAGCGGACGTCAGCCAATCTCGCATACACGTTGTCAAGCGAACGGCGAAGGTTGTCCAGCCGATACTTATTGTCAACTGAATATTCTCCGATGCTGTGCGATCATCTGGCCAAATTTTAATCGTCCTTTTGGTAACGGAAACATAGGTACTGAGGGTGGACAATAAGAGAGAACACTAAAGATTGTTCGCTAATCATGAACATTCGTAAACCTTTGAATGTTTATTTAAAAGAAAAAAAGTATTTCAATTGATCGCATGCATGATAAAGAAAAATTGAATTTTAAGTGTGCAACTATTCAAATATCCCGCTGAGGATATAGTACGATTCATAACATCAGAAGTTGATGCTAACAGGTGAAATAGATCATCTATTGTTTTGTAGGATTAGATATTCGAAACGTTGCAAATAATTGAATATCTGAATAGCTGATAAGGTATGCAATAATTCTGTTCAACTTTCAGATTCGATATTCCTCCATTTTCAATACCAAGTAGTGATTAAAGTGCAAATTCCACTGAAATACCATGTACAATCAATGAAATTTGTGACAGAATAAACAACCATACTTTTGAATTAAGAGCACTGGTAAAAACGAGTAAAATTATTGAAAAGATAAATTCCACAACTAACAGCACCATGCTTTCTCAAGCAAAAGATCAAGGGTGAGAGTGGGTAGGTGAGGGTGAAGAAGCGACGTTCAACGACACTCACCCACCTACCCTCGCTGCCCACTTACCCTCAAGATAGCCCTCCACTCTCATCCATCCATCCTCAGTTTCCGTTCATGCCTAGAGTGTTTATTCTTTGCCGAGAACATATCGATGAATCTGATCCTGGGACAACACAATTCCTAAAAAAAGCTACTGGCGATTTATTTTGACTCAATACTCAAAGGCATGGAAAAGATATTCATCATATATCAGCAACACTCTCTTCTATCTCTACATTGAAAATCTCCAACTATGTAACATGCTAAGATAGAAATGATCGAATAATAAGAAGGGTGTGGGTGTGTGGATGCGGGTGTAAATCTTTTCTTCATTGATACCCACACCCACTCACCCACACCTCACACCCTAGAAAGAGCAAGGCAACTAGTTGAGACTTAAGTGTTTGGTGAATTGTGCTCCGATGGGGTCATCTTGTCGTTGTATTACTATCTAAAATCCAAGCTATGATTCTGAAACTTTCAGGAAACACTCGAGAGCCTTTACAGACATCCAGGAAACGTTGTCAAGTGAATTGATTACAGAAAACCTATTTTAGTAGGTAACCGAATAGAAGGGTGTGGGTGTGGGTATGGGTGTGGGTGGGTGGGTGTTGATGTGGGTGTGGGTGGGTGTGGGTGTGGGGTGTGGGTGGGTGTGGGGCGTGGGTGTGGGTGTTAGTGTGACTATCTTGAGGATGTAGCCATGCCTGTGAGAAATGTTTAAATAAGAGATACACCCACACCGGCCCCCACCCACACCCCACACCCACCCCACACCCACACCCACACCCACCCCACACTCACACCCCACAGCCACACCCACCCCATCCCATCCGATCCCATCCCATTCCATCCCATGCCATCCGATTGCATGCCATCCCATGCGTCCCATGGGACAAAAAAATTTTGAAAACGTCCCATGGGATGGGATGGAATGGGACGAAAAATTTTTGAACCGTCCCATCCCATGGGGCGAAATTTTTTTTTTGATATATCCCATCCCATCCCATGCAATGCGTTGAAAATTTTCTGTCCCATGGGATGCAGAAAAAATTCTTCGGGATCCCATGGGACGTCATGGGACTAACCTATTAGAAAAATAAAATTCTTTCAACTATTATATACTAATAAATGCATTTTCATGCTTCAATTTGATCTTGCTTTCTACTTAAGTAGTATTTTATGAACACATATAAAGGCTGTGATGCGTAGTATAGTGAAAATAAATGACAGAAACGGTGAACTTGACTTTGATTTTGATAACATTATAAAATATATAATGTAATAATCAAAATTCCTTTTAGTGCCATTAAAACTGATGCATATTTAAGACTATTTTAAAAAATTTCTGTGACTATGATGTCCCATGGGATGATGGGATGGGATGGGACCGAAAAAAATTTCGTCCCATCCCATCCCACGTGGGACAAAAAATTTTAGAATTGTCCCATCCCGCATGGGATGAAATTTTTAAAGATAGTCCTATCTCGCATGAGATGAAATTTTTAAAAATAGTCACATCCCATATGGGACAGTCCGCAGATTCCGTCCCATGGGACGACTTTTTTCGTCCCATCCCATCCCACGCGGAGCCCTGGTCTGAACTATTTATTATTGAATCGAAAGAGATTCTTGGCGAGAAACTTATATTAACGAAAGAAATGGTTGAGACAGCTCATAGTCATTTTAATAGAACTGCTGATGAACAATTAATGAAATTTATGAATCATAATATCAAACTTGACGATGATGGATTATCAAATGAATTTACAATCGAGTTCATCGAAACTCTGCACACTGAGTCAATCGTTGATACGATCAAGTATGCTTCATATACTCAGTTATGTAATATACCATCGGTGTGTATACAAACACGTGTATAATTCTTCTTGTTATTCAATATTTCCCTCAAAAAAACTTTGCCAAAGATAGATTTTAGTGTCACATCGGACATCGGTTTTGTTGTAGATCGAATTCGATCGATACGATATTGCATATTATTAATAACAAAGTTTGAAATATTCAATGCAGCCTTATTGAAAACTGAAATTAGTTCAAAGTCATCCGAGCCGAATATGAAATTCGATATTGTAAAAGCGAGTGTAGCTGAACATCCTGAAGATACCATCTTCTATCAAGCATATAAACAATTATATTCTGGTACATCTCAAATATTTCGACGGGGCAATGACGAACAAGTTTGGAAAGCAATCTATGTTGGCATGTTTAACGACGATCAAGGTGGACCCTATCGAGATTCATTAACGCGTATATGTGCTGATTTATGTAGTAGACGATTACCATTGTTTATTCTTTGTCCGAATGGACGAACAAACATTAGGTCGAATCGTGATCGTTGGATTCCGAATATTTTTCCATCGAATCGATCCATACCAGTTGATATTAGAAATCAATATCGTTCTGTTAGACAACTCCTTGGTATGGCAATACGTAAGAAACAATACTTAGATGTTCGATTTCCAATTTTATTATGAAAACAATTGATACACGAAGAAGTTACAATTGAAGATATTGAAGCTATTGATATTTCAAGTTTTGCAATTATCAATAAAATGGAAGAAAATATTCGAAAAGTAAAAGATCTCAATGAATGTAACGACGACGATGTTAAAAACAACTGTGACTATTTGTTTAGTAGTGTTATGACTGAACTTACATTTGATGTCGTTGGTTCGACTGGACAAACTTATGAACTTATTCCAGGTGGTTCTCATATACCGGTAATTGCTGTCAATTTCGAAGATTATTGTATGCGTTATCGTCAATATCGTATTAATGAATTTCATCGACAAATTGAATTTATTCGTCAAGGTTTGTATAGTGTTGTACCATGGGCTTATTTAACTTTATTCACAGCTAATGAATTAGAAGAAACTGTTTGTGGTAAAGGTTCTATCGATATTGAAATGCTAAAACATCATACAGAGTACAAAGATTATGATGAATCTTCACCGCATATCAAGCAATTTTGGTCAGTTTTAAGTGAAATTTTTAGTGAAGAACAGAGAAAATTATTTTTAATATTCATTTGGGGACGAAGTACATTGCCATATTGAGTTGAAGATTTTTCGACAACTTTCACAATAACACGTCTGGAAACAAGTGGCAATGCTGATAAAGCTCTTCCCAGTAAGTTCATTTCAATCATCGAACTCTAGACAAATAAAATTTTCTAGCACTAGAATAATAGCATCATCGTAGTTTCGGAAGATTAACATGCAATCAAAATGATTTTAATTAATTCGTTGCTCGTAGTCAGTTCAGAACCAGTTGTTTCTGGTAGTCATCATTTAGCAGAATTTGTTTGGTCTCTTCGTCATATTTCATTTAGTTTTCTATCATTTGATAGATGAGCAGACATTTGCAATGATCGAGGGCCATACGGAATGTTTCCGAGATGCGATCTCGTTGAATATTTGTTTAGCCAGTAATAAATAGCAACAAGAAATACTAGTGAAATCGTACTCCATTATTGTTCTCTGAAAAATCGGGAAAACTATCGTGGATTCTATTTTAATAATGGATTGAATTGCATGATTTTTTGTTTCTAGGATCGTATACATGCGTCTTTACTCTGCAATTGCCTGCATATTCAACGAAAGAAATCATATACGAACGCTTGAAATATGCGATTATTTATTGCTCGAGTATCGATACCGATAGAAGTATGAACTAGGTTTGATACAGATATTGATTTATTATTATTCAACTTTAACGTCACATTACGCTGAAAAAATCAATTTAAACTAGAACTTTACTAGCCCAGTTATTATAAAGGGTGTGGGTGTGGTTGATTGTGGGATGTGAGCAGGTGTGGATGTATTTTTCCTCTTCACCCACACCCCACTCCCATAATACATCTGAATGGAAAACACGATATATTTTGTCTTTGGCATCAAATGTTTCCTAGATTATGATCTCTTGCTTGTTCCGAGGAATTGTTTTCATCTCGTTTTTTCTAAACTTTTGGACCAACAACGGATCCTATTTCTGAGAAGTTGAAATCAGCATTCATCAGAGAACGCTGCCCAATTTCAGTCGTCATTATTGCGCTGCATCGAACAAATTACACGTTTTTCTTTTTGTTCCTTCGTAGGTATGTAAGTTACTTGAAGTAAAACGCTTTTGTATAACACATTGAATGAAGATAACATTGTATTGTTATCCATCGGGGCACGTTCGAATGATTGTGCTGCTATAGTTTCTGTACGATTTCCTTTGCAGTAATCTAGTTATTTCTTCGCATCCACTGACCAACTGAAGAATTGACATTGGTTGGGATTCTGCGTGGTCGAATATTACCACCACGATGCTGTATGTTGCCTTGTAGTTGAATTTTCAACGTATTATATCGAACAGTAGACAATGAAACCTTTGTTCGACGATCGATTTTGGCGGCAGAACAATAACCCAGAGAGTAAAAATGTAATATGACTGATTGGTTCGTTGAAAGACGATCATTATTCGGTTTATTTACCATTTTTATTGCACTAATCGAAATTCATCTGAGAAATTTCTTACGGTTGCATATATACTAACTATCCTTCATACTCTGGATCGTTCTAAGATAATACTCTATCAAAAGTAGAAATAAAAGAATTAAGAAGGTTTAAATAGTTAACAGTAATTTTGTGTGCACACTACTGTATATGGTATTGTTCACGAACCAGTAGACACAATTTTATTTCAGTGTATTTATTTTTAAGTACAAAGAAGAACTAAAAAGCAATGAGGAATAATATTCATTTTAGAATATGACAGTTTTCTAGCTAATTGATATTGTTCAATATTTTTAGTGATGACTAACAACTTTATTGAAATTGTCATGCATGTAATGGATGTTGTCTTTTTTTTTCCTGAGCTCTAAACGGGCTTCTTACCACGACGATCATTTTTATCAGGAGGAGTATCATATACACGACAAACGCTCTTACCAGATCGATCGGGACCATTGCAAGCTTTGCTTTTGCCAGGTTGAGTATTACGATGAACAGTAGCAGAATGATAAATGCAGGCACATTTATCATGTCCTCTACCAGTGAGACTAGTCCAAAAGCTATTACAAACCACACAATGACCACTCACTGGATCATTGTTGCCGCAACATTCGGAACTACTATTGCAGATGCCACCAAGACGAACACAACCACTTTTGCCACCAGATTGACGAAGTGATACATGTATACGTGCCAATGAATGAATATCTATCGCGATTATGATTTTATTTGAGTAACGCTACGCAAGTATAAGCAATGATTTTTTCATAGAAAGCATAGGAATATTTTCTTTTTATTCATTATGCAGAGAGAAGCAACAAGTTTGTGTCTAGAGGTTATTTATGAATGGAGAACAACTAAACACTTGAAGATTAATCACTCGTTTCTTTCTTTGAAAGCAAATAGATTGTAGCTGGTAAATGAGACCTACTCGAACATGCAGCCATTGAATATATTGTAAAAATGCCCTCCATGCCTCATTGACATATTGCCAGTTTCGCATAATTGGATGTTAGTGTGTGCTGTTTTACCACTAATTCATAAGTACAATCATAATATCAAGGCTTTCTAAACATTTTTCTCAATTTAAATATAGAATGATCAATTATTATCGGGTGCTTTAATATTAATTATTCTTACATTTTTATAGAAAAATTCAAAACACTTTCAAACTGTGGCATATAAATATTTGTAACATAGCCAGTATTATCATCAATTTTTTCAATTCTATACTAACAAATAATGACAAAATATGAAATAACATTTTCGATATGTTTTTTTTTTTTTTGATATTACGAAAGTAAACAGCAATATTTTTGTTCACAAGTATTCGAAAATCAGTATTTTTGTCTAAAAATAGAATAGAAAAGAAGACATATATATTATACAAAGAACGAGAGTATGCCTTGTGTCTGATAGTAAATACTCATTACTCTGTAAGTTGTAAGCAATATCATTTAATAACCATATCTTATATAAACCATGTAATATTAAAATAGTTTCTACTAAACTTTCATACTTTTGGAATATAAATATTTGATAAAATCACTAGGAATGAAACCGATCATCGAAAGATTAGATAATTAAAAGAAACTGGAACAGTAAGAGATGCTTATCAAAATTTATTACAAAAGAATAATGAACAATATGCATAATTCTAAGTAAAACTAGTCATTATTGATGACCATTGCATGAATAAACTCTACAAATTTCATTAATATTTTAACCTAACTCTATCCCAAATAATTATTCTAATTAGTATATATTTATTATCTCTCATAATATGATGTTGGGGGAATATTTAAATGAAGCAACATTTATTGTAGAATAATTTCATTGGATTCTGTTTTCTAATCCTCACATATTTGCCAATTAGAGTTATCCTTGGTCAGGGTGTGCGTGCGGCTGTGGATGTGTGGGTGATATGGTGTCACTGAAAAATAGCCCTACACCCACACTCAAAGACATATTTTCAATTATTTGATAGGACATGATTTCTTTTGGGAACAATTTGTCAAATATTCAAAAATAAAATGAGACTAGAAGAGAGCAAAACATTCTGCCAATAAATATGTGAGTTTTACATGAACTCGTGGAAGACGTGATGTGAAACGATGCTCGATTCTATTTTTGAAGACTCATTGAAAAAAAAATCTTTTAAAATGATGATTTGTTTAAATTTTATGAATTTGGAAAAACAATTTTGTAAAAGTATTATTCATCAAAATTAACTGTCGCTTACTCAAATTAAAACAGAAGACATATATCACCTTGTAAGATCAGATAAAGTCGTACAAAACCCTGGTTTCAGAAATTTTACATCGATTCACCATAGAAGATTCTTGTAAAACTTGTCTTTTTTATAATCGTATGGTACCATCTTACAGAAAAGTAAGATTTTTCTTGTATTTTCTATGACCATTAGATATAAGAGTTTGCGAATGTTAGTGTTAGTGCGATTTAATCTCATTCTGCAGTTGATTTCTTTTGACTTGCGATCGAAATTTTCATGTACTAGTATTATCTGATTTCTTGTTTCATTTATTTTATGATTATTTGACCAATACAAGTTCTATAGTGTAGCAGTGACGAAAAAAATTTTTTATCAACTGATGGAAAAATATTTTTTTCAGAATATTGTTATTGAAGAGATAGTATCTTTGATATTTTGTACTGGAATTTATAGAGAAAGTTTGAACTCTTATTGAGATACATCATTTTGTTGTTACACTGTTTGGTTTATGAATATGCGATAAAAAAAAGTTAAGTATGATTCGAAAAATGAAAATGTTATCTATATTCTTGCCAATATAGAATTTCTTTCAGCAGCTTTCTATTGCTTAGTTATAAGAGTTAATATTTGTCCAATTACTTTTGCGTCTGGTGTTACAGTAAAAGCTGCAGGTTAAAGAGCTCAAAAAGATGTTTCTAATTTAAACGAAATAACTAGTGAGACATCTGAATGGAATTCTCAATTAATTTAATAATTTATGAAATTTTAATGATTTTTATTAAAATGCAATAGCTAATATATTAACTTACAGAATTATGAAAATAAATATTTATGAAATAATACAAATAATATTTCATTCAACTCTGAATAGAAAATTTTTCTAACGATAATTTGCTATCAAATCCAACATAAGATAAATTCATATGTTCAGTTAGAAATATATTTCAAATTGCTAGTAGTTTCTATGAAGGTTTTTCAATTTGTTTTCATACAGGCCAGAGTACGTCAAATTAAATCACTAGCCGAATAAATAGTTCTCACTTTTTTTCTGACTTAATAAAAAATAAAAAAAAACCTTTTAGTTATAAGAAATTAGAAAAAGAAATTTTACCCCATTTGAACAATATTTCAAATGATCATTGCCAAGGTTTACTAATAACAACAATCAATTCTGCTTATTCTCAATCCTGAAAGATTGAGTCTTTGCAACGAAAATTCGTCTATTTGTCCAGTGTTTTATTGGTCGAAAGAAAAACTAATAGGCATTCAGTGATAGAAAAAACCGAAAAAATGATTATCAGTACTCCAGTAAAACATTTGGCAAGATTTCATCACACCGAAAACAAACCAATCAGGCGCTATTGAGGTTGGAGGTTCGACTAATATGATTTCATCCCCCCTAAATCTAATCAGTAAGGGTGGGTGAGTGTGGATGTGAGTATCCTTTTTCCGTTCATCCACACCGACACCCACACTTTACTTTTCTGTTATGAATAATAGATGAAAAAAAAACATCATTGGTAGACAAACAGCATATGACATATCTCTTTCTGAAATCTTTGCTTTATTTTCAATAGAAAAGCTTTGTTCTTTCATCAAATATTTGAAAACAAATATTCATAAGCTACAGTTTATTTGATTGCTAATGAATGTTTATAGTTCGATTTTGACTGTAAACAACAGTGATCAACGTTCTTTGAACCCCAACTCACATCCCTATTTTCTATGTCTAACTATTGATATTGATAACGATTAATACTATTTTTTTATTTGGGTGGATGTAAGTGGGAGACTGAAGTACTATTTTGGATGTCCATTAAGACAATTACAATCAGATTGTTATAAACTGTCGATTCTTTCCAACAGCTTGTAACATAGAATTCAATGTACTTACCAGATTTATATTCTTAAAATGAAATCCTTATTAGAATGCATGTCGATAAAACTACGTAGAAAAAGTAATAAAATGAATTCAAAAATAAAAAAAAAAGTAAAATGTTCATTTAAAAATCTCGTTTATACATGACAACCGATGGAAAGAAAAAGTTAGATGAAACTATTCTGGTTTGGGCATCTTTGTACGACAGTGACTTTGATCATGGAGACCAATGAATTCACATCGTTCACATAAATCTATTTCACAGGAACAATGATATCGAATGCCTCGAATTGGTTTCATTAAACATGAATTACATTGAACATTTTGATGTTCAATATTATTAGAATTGCGTAAGTAGAATGATTGAGGATACATGCATGAGTCTCTAATGCATAATAATGGATGGTCATAAAAATGATTTGGTTCTTTATTTGCTTTACCGGTCGACTGACAGGATTCACAAAAGTCAACATTTGGACAAAATAAACATTTATAACGATCTCCTTTTATTGGTGACATATCACAACTACCACAAGTAACATTCAAATGGACATTTGTATTTGTTTGTTGAATAATCTTTACGTTATTTTCTGTTTTTTGTTTGACCTCATCATTAAATTCCACTGTACATACATCGATTATTTCCTTATTACTACTTAATCGTAATGTGGCAATTTCTTTTTGTTGATTTGATTGACCATAATGCTTATAAATATGTACCATTATTGTCGTTGCACCAGTTAAACTTTGTTGGTGATTAGCAAAGTATTTTACTCGAATTTTATATGTCCCTTTGATTGCTTTGCGAAGCAGATATTCTTCTGGTCCATAACCACGTGTAAAATCACGACTTATCATACCTCCAATAGCTGTATTTTTATGAGAGTAATAACATTCTTCACCGTTTGGTTCAATTACATGTAAATCAACATCTGTATCATCTGTATCCCAGACTAAGACTATTCTTAAATCAACAGGTAAATGTCGAATTAGACGATTATCAAGAGATGCTGCTATTTGCTGTTGTTGATGAAATTTAAATATAAACCAATTCAATTCGTGTAATGCTGTTACTTCAATTTCAGCAAAACGATTGTCCCATTCACCTAATATAACTTTCTTAAATAGTTCTGATATTTCTGTAATATGATTATATTGAATATTAGTAGATTCTTGCAATAGTAATGCTAGATCTCGAAATGATTGTGGTTCATTCGATCGCAAAATTAAAATATGTCGAAAAATATTTTCAGCTAAATTGATAAGACCAAGTTCAACAAGTTTATAAGCAACTGTTCGTAACAATTGTGGTGATTCTAATTCTAATTCTAATACATTGGTTAAAATACGTAAACCAAAATATTCATATTGATTGGCATCGAGATCACTCGAACTAGTTTTATTTGACACTGTTTGAGCCCCAAATATTGACATTGAATGATGCTGATTAAATGTATCTATTGCTGATGATTTTGACGTAGGAGAACGAGCTAGTGAGAAAAAATACGATGATATATCGAAATAAAAAGATGGTGATTTAGCATAGGATTGACGTTCATTTAAATAAATCTGATAAGCCACTTGTAAGTTAGTGCTCGATTTAATCTTATCCATGTATGGTGTTTTCGGATCATAGTTTTGTAGAACAATGGTTTGAGTATTGATAGAACTATGATCAAGAATAGTGGTACTATAAGTATTTGTATTAGTAGGAAGAGGTGGAGAAGGAGTAGAATCTCTGATAGAACGTTTTACTGACTCTCTCTGAATATGAGAAGAAGCGAGAAGGCGTTTTTTTTGAATTTCATGCGTCGATAAAGTCATTCTTTTTTCAGATTGGCTTAGATCGGGTTGTAATTCCGATAGTAACTCTCTTGCTTCTTGATGAGAATGTTCAAGTTGCATTGTTCGACGCCTCATTATTTCACGTCGTTCTCTTTCACGTCGCAATAATTCTTCTTGCTCTCTTTGAAGTTGTCTTGTTTCATATTCCATTTGTTTAAGTTCCATTCTTCTACGTTTGATTATTTCACGTTTTTCTTCTTCACCTCGCAATAATTCTTCTTGCTCTTTTTCAAGTTGTTCTGTTTCATGTTTCATTTGTTCAAGTTCCATTCTTCTACGTTCGATTATTTCACGTTTTTCTTCTTCACCTCGTAATAATTCTTCTTGCTCTTTTTCAAGTTGTCCTGTTTCGTGTTTCATTTGTTCAAGTTCCATTCTTTTACGTTCCATTATACCATGTTGTTTTCTTAGACGTCGCGATAATTCTTTTTGCTCTCCTTGAAGTTGTACTGCTTCATATTCCATTTGTTCAAGTTCCATTCTTTCCCGTTCCATCCTTTCATATTGTTCTCTTTCACGGTACAATAACTCTGCTTGCTCTCTTTGAAGTTGTCTTGTTTCATGTTTCAATTGTTCAAGTTCCCTTGTTGCATATTGTATCTCGTTAAATTGTCTTTGAAGTGCATTTTCCAATTCTCTGTTTTGTGTTGCTGATTGATATTCACGCGTGCTGTACCTTAACTGTTCCATGCGTTCACGATACGTCTCTAGTAACTGTTGAATTTCATGTTGTCTTCGTTCGAAATTATGTTCTCTACGATTTCTATATACATTCCAGCGATTCATATCTGTATTTGTTTTATCATACCATGAACAACGCGCTTGCCATAACTTTAAGATAGCTACTATTTTTTCTTGATTCTTAATCAACTCTTGTTGTTTTTTTTCAGTTTGATACTTCATATAATCATTGTAGAGTGTCGTACGTGATTGATGTGGACATATATTATATTGAATATGTTGCTGCAATGTTTCTAGGACAAGTATGGATGTAAAATCACTTACGATTGAAAATTTCATACCAATATCGATGATGCGCTTTTTATTTTTTTCCGGAAAAGCAGTTAATTCAGCTAACATTTGTTGCGCATATAATCGACGCAATAATCCATAGTTTTCAACTGTTGGGTCTGCTTTATCTATCATCAATTCTTTACGATGCATTTGATTCAAGATCATAAAATTGATGGCAATATTCGCTGGAATCGACGATGACATTTTTCCGACTATGATGAATTGTTCGGCATTTGTTGCTAACACAGTTGAATGACTTGGATAAATATCATGAATAGATGTGTTATTGATAATATCCGTATTGATATATCTTGGTTGTGGGCTATCAATCCATTGAATAATATCATTTACATTATTCTGATCTACAATTTTCTGACGAGAAATATATCCACCACCACTTGGATTAGTTAAATGTTTAATTAATGAAAAATTTGTTGGTTCATGTGCAAAGTTTGCATTAAATATCCAAACTGGTTTTGTTGTTAACTGATCCAATACTGTTGGATCATCATTACCTATTGTTGAAAGACAATCGCTAAATAAAAAATAGTGTGTCATATTTGGAACCTTGGATGAAATTGTAGCTAGTTGAAATAAATTTGTTGCACCATCATATGATAGATTACTTAAGAATTGACCAAGTTTCGACCAATAATCTTGTTCTTCTAGTTGAAATGTTTGTGGTTCTTCAAGTACATTTCGGAATACAACTACGGTTAACTGAATATTGACGTCATTGGACTTCCAAATATCTAATATAGTTCTGAGCATATTTATTTCGTGATTCCGATTTTCAACATTGGCTCGACTTAAACTTGCATCCCATAAGATACAAATGGAAATTATTTTTTGACTATCGAGTGCAATTTCATTGGATTGTGATAATGAAGGTATATAGGATAGAGCGAAATAAGCTTCATTATGATCTTCGGGATCAATTTCTACGCTGTAGATGGGTTGTCCGGGTGTCAATTTTTTAAGCATATAAGAAATCGATTGTTCCCCTTCGGATGGTTCAACGTTGACTTGGTGAAATTCTGAACAATATTTACCTTTTGAGTATACAAAAGACTCTTTGAATTTAGTATTTGAAACAAATTCTGGTTGACAATTATTTCCTGTTTGTGCGCAAATTAATGAAATATCTAAATTGGTGAGAGTATTGGTAAAGTAGATTGGAATATTGAATATAAAATGATCATTTTCGACTTTAGCTCGATCTTGATAAATAACACGTACTATTCTTGTGCCTCCGGCTGGCATTGGATAAACTCGTGTACGAAATATATTTCCTTGAACCATTTCGACTAAGCCAGGATCGACACCTTTTCGAACTTCTTGTTCAAATGTTACCCGAGCTTTCTCTTTTTCAACAACAACACCATCAACAATGACGTCATCGACATCAAGACCTATGGAAGAGAATATCGACAATTATTTTTATGCCACAAAAAAAAAAAACTTAAACCTAATGTTAATTATTATCGCGATAACCTTACTCACCGAATCCACATATTACTGCTGTTTCAGGTAATGTAAATTCTAAAGCTCCTTCTAATATTCTGTTTTGATCATTTTTAAATGTCATTGTTGTTGCCACTTGATGTATGAGTGGAAATGTTGCATTCACTTGTTGTTCAATACGCAACTTAATCATTTTCAATGGTGTAGAAGCAGCATCACCAAATCTCGTGCTGCGTCCAAAATACATTGGAAACACAGTTTGTGTAGTATTGTCACCGTTGGAACATGAAGTCATCTTCAATCTACTTCGCTGCAATGATGATTGATTCAATTATCAAGATAAGACGGATATTAGTAATATAAAACTATTGTACGAATATTACTATTCGCTTTGAACTTTATCTAGAATTGATCTTGAACCTTAGTGAGTTGCTCTCACAATTAATAAACAAAAATACTATGCAGAATAATAATTAACATCAAGACTACTTTTTCATTTCTGTTTTATCAAGATAAAAGACTGAAAAATGCTTCCCTCTTACTATTCATTCTGTGTCATGTACGTATATACTAGTCTTTCATTTCAGGAAAAGAAAAAGAAGATGAGTGTGAATTATTAGGAGACGGAAGCCTTTAGCTATATTGACCCATACTCCTACATCCACCATCACCAGTATTGGTATGTAGGCTGTTGTTGTTGAAACTTTAAAAACTCAAAAGAATATAAAATGTAATTCTTCTGTAAAATCGGTATTCTCACAAAAAATATCGAAATTGATACAAAAATAACAGAGATAGGATGCAAATATAGAAATGGTCAAATATATATTCACATATTTGTATTTATTCTTCAGCAAATGAATCTCATCTCTGTTATTGTTGTACCAAATTCATAACAGTTTTTCATGACAATAATCTGAAAGGAAATTTTGTATTCTATGTAATATTTTCCAATCTATTTTGAAATATTTGATTTTGCATAGGCATACCTAATTCACAGAAGAACTTGAATGTATGTTCCTCTGATTTTTTGATGATTTCAGCAGTAGCAGCTATAAACTCTCTTTAAAGTAGGTTATAGATCTCTCATTTCTAGATGCAGCACTCACATAACTTTATCAGACTGGATGAATCATGTATGGGATGCCTATATATATACAGGCTTTCGTGTTGCAGCATAAGTGGAAACAAAATAAAAAGGTTAAAGTTTGCATGGAGCATATATTTCTTTAATGAGAAAGAAAAAAACCCTCCTTTTCTAGTATGTATGGGTTTTTCTTTTGATTTTTCTTCTCAACCAAAAAATCCCACTCTCTGATTCATACAAGCAATTCACCAAAGTCCTTCACAAGGTACAAACAATAAGAGTTATAATAAAAAATATTTTTTGTTTCTGCTTTTTCTTGTTCTCGCAGTTCCATTCATTCCCCTTTTTTTTAAATTTTACCCCACTCACTATTCGCTACTGACGTATATGCAAGATTCCATTCAAAAAGAATGAGGCAGCAAAAGGAAAATTACAAAACAAGAGAGAATACTAACGCAAAATAACTTTCATTTTTAATATTCTTATTTATTCTCGAGTTGGGTGTTGATGATGAAAATTTTCTAGGTTTTCTTTCGTTATTAGACAGGGTAAAAAAACGGATAAATCTCGAGAAACATCACAAAGCAACCTTCAGTTTGTATTGATCGAAGCGAGTGTTAGTCAATGAGCCAAGAGAATCTGAGACTGGTACTCGTCCACATCTCTACAGAAGTTTGAGTGAGTAAATTTTATTAGGCTATGGTCCTTAAATCCTAATAATCAGAGATGGACAAGTCAGCGATTTTTCGACTCAAATCAAGTCAAGTCAAAATTCAAATAAATTCTCATCAAGTTTTCTTTTATTTGCGAAAGATAAAGATATGTTACCTTCATACTATTTCGAACGAAAAAGAGATTTCAACGAAGTTTCACGATAAATAAAAAAATAACTGGAACAAAACATATATCACAAATAAATCGATTTAACTCCGTAAAAAAATAAATGTATGACAAATAATGGATTTATCATCACATAAGAAACAAATGTATTAGAAATAAATTAACCTTAACATAACAACCATAAACAAATGTACTAAATATCAAAAACATATTCTGATTAAATCCCACAATTACATTTTAATAAGATCAATTGTTGAAGATTTTCTCGAGTCATCCGAGCATGATGAGCCTAGCAATTTTTTTTCTTTTTGATAATAAATATGTTTAAAGAATTTATTACGAGCTGTTCTAGGTATGCTTGATGATGACGATGAAGAGCTCTTTCCTTGACTCATTTTAAAAGTTAACTTTATTTTGTTAGATTATTTACAACTTTAATGATTGTAAAACAAAGAAATCGACGTAATTTCATTAAAGAAACT